TTTGGGGATGGGGTTATTTGGGATCAGCCTGTTTCCAACAGATGGGATCATTCATGTCCACCCAGGTGTCCAGGTGTCCTTCCCTGGGTGCTGAGCCCTGACACGGGTGAGGGTCCTGCAGGTCCTGGGGGGGGGTTGCTCGTTGGCACCATGTAGCAGATCCATCACCTTCTGCTGCCAGCGCTGCCCGGTGGGAGCGTCGCGCTGCAGTTCCCTTCTGGGATGAAATTTGGGAGACCTTTTGGGGTTTTTTTATTCTTCTGCAAACGAGGTAGCATCCCTGCTCCTTTCTGCTCGCGTGTTAACACCATGAAGGAGCAGGAAAACGAGAGCACCAGCCCTCCTGGTGCTCCTTCAGAGGAGGAAGTCAGGTGGAGACGGGTGAAGGCCTCTCTTTTAGCTGAGCGTTTGGTCCCCAGGAGCAGCCTGGGGCTGTTTTGCAGGTGTAGGCCTGCAGCGGCGATGCTGCGTGGTTGGGCACAACGGTCCGTGTTGAAAAACCAAAGGGAGATGGTTTCCTATTCCCTTAGCAGTGGAAGAGAGAATTCCAAAATAAAGCACGATTTTCCAGGTGGAATTCCCACCTTTTAACTCAAACTGGCTGAGCAGAGGCAGGGGGAGGAGATGCTGCTAAGTCAAACAGGCTTTTCCAGGTGGAGCCTTGTAACCTCATCCCCTAAGGGGCCAAACTGTGCCTCCAGGAGGGGTGGGTGAGGCCCCCCGGTGCTTCCCCTGGTATGTGGGGTGTCCTCTGGCCCCTGCCCCATTGCTCCTGCCTGCTTTCGCCCTCGTGTTGCCTGCTAAAGCCAGGGCATGGCTAGTGGGGGGCGTGCTGCCAGCAGGAGGTAGGACCAGTCCTGGGCTCAAAATGCAAAATTAACCTTCCAAACCGCTCTGGGAACTGGAGAAACTCCCAGTTGTATCTGGAGAGAAAAACATGAGGTATCTTGAAGTGACTCTCCACAGGCCGTGTCTGCAAGGCTGGGGCCGCTGCGCCCGTGCGCACCAGGTCGAAGTGTTCCTCACCGTCTGCCTGCTCCAGGCTCCCTTTTGGCGCTAAATTAAATCATTTACAGAGTGAGATGAGAGGAAGAAATATTGGTGGGGGTTTTTTTCTTTTTTGCTGAAAAGAATTATTATAAATAAACCTGTTAAAAGCCTTCAGGAGACTTTCTCTTTGAAAAGGGAGGTCCCTGCCGTGCTTTGGGGTAGGGGCTGGATGCCTGACACGGCGCATGGGCTTTGCATCACACCTAATTTCACGCCAGACCAGATTTGACTGAATTGTAAGCGTTTGGAAAATCTCAGCGTGTAATTATTAGAAATCTAGGTATTTTTCGGCAAAATTCCCTTGGAGTTCAACCCGTGCCTGGATGTGATTTCTCCTCCCCATTGCACCTCTGGGCTGCTGCAGGTGAGATTCCTCCCTGGAAATCAGAGCGAGCAAGGTGCCGGGGTAGGAAGGGGTTTGGGGGCAAAATTTGGCTGTGGCCCCCCAGTGTGGGTGATAAAGGAGATAAATAACGCGGTCACCGGCCAGGCAGGCTGGCCTCGTTTCCAGAGAACTGGCTTGGGCGCGTTAAATTGAACAGAGAAAGCCTTGAGGTCTGATTTGCAGAGATGCTTCGGGCTTCTAGCTGTGGTTGGCTTCACCAGAGCTTTGCTGGGAGATGCCACCTCGAGTGCAGGCTCTGAAAACACAGAAGCATTTCAAGTTGGGCATCCCAGCTCGGTTCTGTGAGTCGGCTCGAGCTCACCTTGCCCAGGTTTTGTTCTTGGGACGACAGCCTTCCCCAGGTGTCCTGTGGCAGGGGACAGGTAAGAGCTCAGCCACGAGCAAGGTGTCAGTTCTGGGTGGAGGACAGCCAAGGAGAAGGCTGGGAAATGAGTCCTTCTGTTCCCAGGGTGAAGAGTGCCCACCAGTATGGACTGGAGCCGCATACTGAACAGCAATAAATACGAATAAATATGCCATAGCTGCTCAGTACCTCCCCACATCTGCACCAGTAAGACAGAAAAGGTGCTGAGGGCTCCGCTGGGCTGTGAACGAAGGCCATGGCAAGACATGCATGAGCTTAAAGGTTGGGTAAGGGCTGCCCAGGTGCCTTCAGCCTGTCCTTGCCTCTAGTGCGGGGACTTGCCTTTTGGCTTTTTGTCCTTTAACATTGGGTTTTCAAAGCTTGGTTTTGCCTGAGGTATTTTGTTTTGCTGCTTAGATGCTCCAGTTGAGATCAGGAGGGTCATAGGCGCAAAGCTTTGCGCACAGTAATGAGCAAGGGTATAGATTTTATGATGGTTTTTGTCCAAGAGCCTTCTGTTTGCACCAGAGGATCGTGGTGGCAGTGACAACATGCCAGGGAGGACTTTGGCAGAGGCAATGCAAGTCTCCCAGGCAGCTGCTCATGCTGGTGTCCACACCATGGCATCGTCCCCTGTGATATCCCCATGCTCACCACTCCAGCTCCCTGGGGGCAGGGAAAGTGGATGGACAATAAAGCCAGGAAAAAGGCTGGAGGAGGATGAGCCCGAGCTGGAGGGTGGTGGCAGAAGCAGGACCAGACAGACTCAACTGGGCCGTGCAACCATGTAGGACCTCCCAGAGCTGCTTGCAGCTGCTTACTCCTGCCCACAGCCCGCCGCAGCCTGAGCCCCAAGTTCTGCCCTGGGTCTTCCTCAGGGGATCCTGGGTCTGCTCCCAGGGGTGGGTGTGCTGAGTGCAGCCGCCTTCGGCACAGCTTGATTTTACTGAAAAAGCTGCAGGTCTTTTTACAGAATCACAGAAGGGTTTGGGTTGGAAGGACCTGAAAGACCATCTGGTCCAACCCCCTGCCACGGGCAGGGACACCTCCCACCAGACCAGGTCGCTCCCAGCCCCATCCAGCCTGGCCTTGAGCCCTGACAGGGAGGGGGCAGCCCCAGCTGCTCTGGGCAGCCTGGGCCAGGGCCTCACCGCCCTCACCATAAAGAATTCCTTCCTTCTGTCCAATCTCAACCTACCCTCTTGGCAGTTTAAAACCCAAAGAAAGTCTCCAAATGGTCACTGCTAAAGCCCTCGCAGGTTTTTAAGGCTGAGAGAGACTCTTCTCCAGCCTGGGGGATGCTCTTGCCACCCTCCAGACAAGGTTTTTCCTCTTTGTTTTTTCCCAATGAAAGCTGTGTCTGTCTTGTGCTGGTGCCCCCAGAGCTGGACGCAGCCCTGCAGGGGGGTCTCACCAGAGCGGAGCAGAGGGGCAGAATCCCCTCCCTTGACCCACTGGCCATACTTTGGATGCAGCCCAGGATACAGTTGGCTTTCTGAGCTGCAAGTGCCCATTCCCGCCTCGTGTCCAATTTTTCATCCACCAGTGTTCCCAAGTCCTTGTCTACAAGGCTGCTCTCCACCCAGTCATCCCCCAGCCCGTATGGATACCAGGGATTGCCCCAAACCAGGCGTAGGACCCTGCCCTTGGCCTTGTTGAACGTCATGAGGTTCATCTGGGCACACTCCTCCAGCCAACAGGCTGAGGGTGCGCTCGATCCCACCCCATCGACATCACTGATGAAGATATTAAATAGTATTGGTCCCAGTGCCAACCCTTGAGGGACACCACTCGTTACTGGTTTCCACTTGGACACCGAGCTGTTGACTGGACATGGCCATCCAGCCAATTCCTTCTCCATCTGTCATGCTTGTGGTGAGCCCTTCATGTGGAAACAAGAGTGAGGGTACAAAATTCATCACAGGGGCTTTTTTTTTTTCCCCACCACCACCACCCTTTGTGCTATTATAGAAAAATTTATCTGTGCAATCCAGGGCACTGCGTGTTGCGACTTCAATAAGGTTGAGGTTTCTAGAGTGGCACGAGGGATTTAATCAGCAATTTTAATGGAAGCTGGAGCTTAAAGG